TCATAGATTGGAAGAATTAATGTGGTTAAAATGTTCATACTACGTAAAGCCATAGATAGATTCGAAAAAATCCCTATCAAAATTCCAATGGTAGTTTTCATAGAAATAGAAGGAGCAATCCTAAAAATCACAGTTCCTGATTTCAAACTATACTACAAAGCTATAGTAATCAAAACTCCATGGTAGGGGCGCCTGGGTGGCTCAGTCGGTTAAGCGGCTTCCTTCGGCTCAGGTCATGATCCCAGGATCCGGGGATCGAGCCCCACATTGGGCTCCTTGCTCAGCGGGGAGCCTGCTTCTCCCCTGCCTGCCGTTCCCCCCTGCTTGTGCTTGCTCTCTGTCTCTCTCTCGTTCTCTCTGTGTCAAATAAATAAAAAATCTTAAAAAAAAAAACAAACCCATGGTAGTGGCATAAAAATAGAAACATAGACCCATGGATCAGAATTGAGAGCCCAGAAATAACTCTTATATGTATAGTCAACTAATATTTGACAAGGGAGCCAAGAATACTCACTGGGGAAAGGATAGCCTCTTTACTAAATGGTTTTCAGAAAACTGGAGAATGAAATTGGAACCTTCTCTTACACCACTCATAAAAATTTTTTTTTAAAGATTTTATTATTTGAGAGAGAGCACAAGTAGAGGGAACTGCAGGCAGAGGGAGAAACAGGCTGCCCGCTGAGCAAGGAGCCTGATGTGGGACTTGATCCCAGGATCCTGGGATCATGACCTGAGCCGAAGGCAGACGCCTAAGCAATGGAGCCACCCACACATCCCATAAAAATTAAATCAAAATGGATTAAAGACTTAAACATAAGGCCTGAAACCATGAAACTTCCAGAAGAAAATATAGGGGGAAAGTTCCATGACTTGGTCTTGGCAATGGTTTTTTTTTTTTTTTTTTGATAGGACACCAAAAATGCAAACAATGGGTAAGAATTAGTAAGTGGGACTACATCAAACTAAAAACCTCTGCACAGCAAAAGAAACAATCAACAAAATGAAAAGGCAACTTATAAAATGGGAGAAAATACTTGCAAACCATATATCTGATAAGGGTTAGTATCCAAAATATATAAACAATTCAATAGCAAAAAACTGAAAAATCCAACTTAAAAAATTGTTAGGGATCTGAATAGACATATCTCTAAAGAAGACATCTAGGGGAGCCTGGGTGTCTCAGTCAGTTAAGCGTCTGCCTTCGGCTCAGGTCATGATCTCTGGGTCCTGGGATCGAGCCCCACATTGGGCTTCCTGCTCAGCAAGGATTCTGCTTCTCTCTCTCTCTCCCTCCACCACACTGCCCCTCCCCACTGCTCATTCTCTCTCTCCCTCTCAAATAAATAAAACTTAAGAAAAAATGAAGACATCTAAATGGCCAACATGAACATGAAAAGATGCTCAACATCCCTAATCATCAGAAAAATGCAAATCAAAACTAAAATAAGATATCACCACACACTTGTTAAAATGGCTATCATCAAAAAGATGAGATATCAAGTGTTCGCAAGAATGTGGAAAAAAGGGAACCCTTGTGCATTGTTGGTGGGAATGTAAATTGATTTGACCACTGTGGAAAACAGTATGGAGTTTCCTCAAAAAATTAGAAGTATGATATGATCCAGCAATCCTACTTCAAAGGTATGTATCCAAAGGAAATGAAATAAGGATCTTGAATAGATAGCTGCACTTCCATGTTCATTGTAGCATGACTCAAAATAGCCAAGATAATGGAAACAACCCAAGTGTCCATTGATGGATAAACAGATAAAGAACATGTGGGGGGTATGTGTGTGTATGTATATGTGTGTGTGTGTATATATATATATAATACACATATATATATATATATAACATTTTTCAACCATAAGAAAGAAGGAAATTCCTTTATGACAACATGGATGGACTTTTTTTTTTTAAGATTTATTTACTTACTTTAGAGAGACAGAGCAAGTTGGGGGAGGAGCAGAGGGAGAGAATCTCTAAGCAGACTCTGCACCGAGCACAGAGCCCAACGCAGGGCTCAATCTCAATGCCCCTGAGATCATGACCTGAGCTGAAACCAAGAGTTAGATGCTTAACCGACTGAGCCACCCAGGAGCCCCATGGATGGGCTTTTAAAGGACATTATGCAAAGTGAAATAAGTCAGACAGGGAAAGATAAATAGGATGTCAGTTATATGTGGAATCTAAAAAAGCCAAACTCATAAAAACAGAAGAGTATAATGGTGGTTGTCAGGGGGTGAGGGGTGGGGGAAATGGGGAGATGTTGGTCAAAAGATACAAACTTCTAGGGGCGCCTGGGTGGCTCAGTTGTTAAGCGTCTACCTTCGGCTCAGGTCATGATCCCAGGGTCCTGGGATCGAGCCCTGCATCGGGCTCCCTGCTCAGCTGGGAGTCTGCTTCTCCCTCTCCCTCTCCCCCTGCTTGTGTTCCCTCTTTCACTGTGTCTCTCTCTGTCAAATAAATAAATAAATAAAATTAAAAAAAAAAAAGATACAAACTTCTAGTTATAAGATGAGTTAAGTTTGGCGATCTAATGTACAGGATGGTAATTATAAGTAATAATCTATTATAAACTTAAAAGTTGCTAAGAGAGTAGATAATAAATTTTCTCGCCACGAGAAAAATGATGATTAGGTGAGGTGATGAAGATGTTGGCTGACATTATAGTGGTAATCATTCCACAGCTTGTGAGTATATCAGTCGATACCCTGTATACCTTAAATCTAAACAATGTTATATGTCAATTATATCTCAGTAAAGCTGGGAAATAAATACTTATATTGAAAAAGAAGAAAGGTTTAATATCAATGACCTAAGAAACTAAAAATGGAAGTAAACCCAAGATAAGCAGAAAAAAGAAAATAACAGAAATTAATATAGAGAAAACAAACCAGAGAGAAAATTACCAAAGCTACAAGTTGGTTCTTTGTAAAAAGAGCAACAATTTGGTTGGTACCGAAAAAGGCAACATCAGTTACAGAATGAAAATACCAGAAATAAAAAGCAGTTATTACTGATAATTTCTAGCAAAATCTTGAGGAAGAAGTTACACTAATCTTAACACAAATCTTATCAGAGAATGGAGAAGGTAACACTTCTGAATTCATTTTATGAGGCCAGTATTACCTGCTATAAAGACTTGACAAAGACATTACAGAAAAAGACACTTATAGACCAATATCCCTTATGAGTATAGATGCAGAATACTTATAGTTAGATCTGTCAAAGGATGAATAAAAAAGTAAGTAGAAATTTTTCTGGAGACAGTCAGTTCAGTATATGGAAGAAACTAAAACTAAGCAAAGAAGGGATAGTGGGCTCAGAAGGTAGTAAGGTACAAGTAATAAAAACAAATCTAGATTAAAACACCAGTGAGATTACCTTTTTTCCATCTCTCCAAATGAAAGAGATTTAAATCTATCAGCTGATATTAGTGAGGGGATATGTGCACACATTATTGGTGGGAATGTTATATATACAGCAAAACTTCTTGGAGGATGGTTTGGCAATGCCTATTAAAAGTGAGGATTCATGGGGTGCCTGAGTGGCTCAGTCGTTAAGCGTTTGCCTTCGGCTCAGGTCATGATCCTGGGGTCCTGGTATCGAGCCCC